GGGTTACAGTCTCGCACCCTCTCAAAGCATAGTGAAGAAAACTCGAGCATACATGTGTCACTGCGGATCTCGCTATCATATGTCTCACTTATCGTTCGGTGGACCACAAGCCCTACGGTATCCGGTCGTCCAACCGATCGCCGGACGATAAGCCCAAGGTCACTCACTCACTCCTACGCCTGTACGATACCGTTTTTCTTGCTATCCGGTACGATATTCGCCCCCCCTATCGTACTGTGCACCACACACACTCTCACACTCTCTCTCTCCATCCCCGGTCAGCACCGTTGAAAATTCCGAGTGCCGGACTGTGCTGGTAGAAGCTACCTGTACGATAATATTGTAAGGCTAGCGTGGGTGGCGACTTCAATGTACAAGTATGATGATATGTAGAAACGCTATGATGTACGTGCCTCGGCGACACCGATCGAAGTAGTCACTACCGTAGGGCATTTTTTTAATTTTTTTTTACACCGAACAGAGCGTGGTGTTTCTTGGCGTTCCGGTGCAATCTATTATTCAATTATTATTATTATTATTATCATCATTATTACTAGTATAAAAACCGGTAAAAGTAGAAATGTCTTAGACCTCCGATGGCGCGGGTGTACTGTACCAAGTATCCTTGTAAGGGTATCTATCATACTCTGGTATTATTTTTTCTGCCCATGATGACTTAGACCTTTACCACACATACAGCCTGAGTATTGTCCGTGCTACATAATTATGATTGTCCATGATACATATTCTCCAAATTAATTAACTTATCAACCCCCCAGACTTTGGATTTTTAGATCCTGAGTTACTTGCATGAATATTTATAGCAATCCATATGAGGATTGATATGGAGTGTGCAGGGTCAGGGTGGTTGCTTCTGCCAGCTTCCACACACACCGGGTACTTTTACTGAATCACTGGTGCGATAAGTAATAATACTGTAAAGTTCTCGGCCAAGAGCGACCGTCTCCTCTGCCACCAAGGTCACCTCAACAACCCAACAACAACCTGACTGATATATTCCCTATACAACCTTTCCAGAACATATTCAAGTTAAGATTGATGGAAAAATAAATAAATAGAGGACAATAACTTATATTCTCACATTACAGGACTTATCGGAGTGGAAGAGTTAGGGACAAACTCTGCCAAGATCTCATGCAGAGTCCTGATACCCTGTTCAATGCGGGGTTCAGCCTTGCAACAAAATCAAGCCACCGGGTCATTCCATCTTTTCCTGCAGGAATACGTTACAATAAAATGCTTACTGCACACTATTCTTATTCAATAATCACATCCCGTCAACATGGGGAGGTGCTATTTTAGAAATTGCATAAAGGTTTTACACCTTATGCCTTTATCGGACCAACTAGCGAATGCTATCAGAATATAGAGTTTGGAAGTACATTTAAGATAAGACACTTGGGTTAATATATACTCTGATAAGAAGGAGGTATTAATTGTATCTTTGAAATAGGTATCAGAAAATTGTCTAGTGGGGAGAAATGATATAGAATGATGAATATCTATATATAAAAAACTGGTAAATCAACAAGTAGAGTATGTTTATAAAACATACTGAAAAAAATATCTTGTAGGATAAGTCAAGAATGATAGAAAGTCAAGTAGAGTTGAGCAAACTGGATGGATCTGTTCTACCAATGGATTGAAGGAAACATGTAATAAGAGAAGGATTACTGTAAAATTAGATAGCAGGAAAGTAAAATGAAACCATATATAGAAATAAAAAAGCTTCAGATATCTCAATCTCTTTGGGAAATTGAAGGAAAATTATATTAATATTTGTTCATGGTAATGCTATGATGCATATTGTTAGTATTACCATATTTCTGTTCTGGGAAAATCATAGAGAAAAATCATAGAGATGTCCTAGAAAATTCACAACCTTATTCTCAAGATCTCAATTCCATTAAACATGTTCAAATGCATCTCAAGAAGCTTTAGGAAGGATATTACTCTAATTATCTGAAAGACTAGTGGAAGATATTCCAGAAGGAATTAGCCCGTTATCAAGGCAAATAAATAATATACAAAATGGAAATAAAAACATCAAAACTATAGGTACATTTGAGGTCGTATGGCTGGCTAGTACTGGACGATACCAAGCGTTGCCCCGGGCGAGAGCCATCGCTGCGGAGCCGACGGCGAACCCCGCCACCCAACGACCGGAAGGACTGAAATAATTGAAACCCCTCGCTATGACGCTGGAGATGCCTCCCCATATAGGCCTTGTTATATTTTTCTTTCTTATTTGACTTAGCGGTGGGCTGAGGGTCTGCGCTTCCTGATACAAGTCCCTCCTGCTATCCAAAGAGGGAAATACCAGACCTCCTTGTGTGGGTTCAATCATTCCACTTCTTAAGGTGCACCATAGTAAGAACCACCGCCAGCACTGATATAAAACAAAATAAAACAAAAACACACCTATTTACAATAAATTACCCCTAAGGAGATGGGGGAGAGCAGACCCACCGAATGGGATGGCGAGAGCCCCTGACATAAACCAAGCTTTATTGAACGCTAAAGATATCGAAAACACAAGGTGCTGATTACCACCAGTACCGGGGAGGGAAAAAGAGATAAAGAGGGAGAAACAAGAAAAAAAAGGCGTTTCCCGGAATTTAAACGAATCTAATCTAGTCCAGTACGTTTATAGTATCAAAGACAAAGGGAAATGGGAATCAATCATGGAAATAAGGGAAAGTGAAAAGAAAAAGAAAAGAGAACACCGTTGGAAACAATACAACGCCCAAATACCGATTCGCCAACTGACAACCAAAACAATCAACAAGTCCGCCGTAAGAAAAAGCAGCAGCAGTAGTAGTAGTAGTAAAAAGTAATAATGTGCAAGGGGAGAGAGAAGAGGAAGAGGGCATAGGAGAAGGGAAGCGGTTTTTCCGCCATCATAATCACAATCATCGCCGCAATCAGAAGATAGGCTATACTAGACCACCCGTGAAATTAACCAATCCATCTATCCATCCATAGCTTCTCACCCCTTTACAAAATATCCACGTCGAGAGGTAGGTTGTCGGTTTTCAACTCCCTCCCCTTCTTGCTAGTAGCAATAGGGGCCCTTCCATTTTCCTGGACATAAAACTCCCTGAGCTTAACCACGGCACTAGACGAATAAATTCCGCCAACGACCTCATACCCTCCTCCGCCATTCCTACTCTTGTTTTCGCCGCCGACACCATCCCCTTCATGGACTCTCAAGACTCCACCGCATCCGCCAAACCTGTCATTTGAGCAGCCGAAATAGACCTTCCTGATGCCGACCTGGCGGAGTGCGCTAGCACACATGATGCACGGCTCGACGGTAACGTACAGGTCAGTCTCTTTGAATATAGACGGCGGATGGGTAGCCAAGATCTTGTCAATGGCAACGAGCTCCGCGTGGCGGGTCCCGCACAAGGAACGGTTTGTATCGTTGCGGCCGCTAGCGATTATGCGTGAGTTGTGGACAAAGACGCAGCCGACGGGGACTTCATTGCTCTGGAGGGCCGAAGTGGCGATTTGTAGAGCGGACCGCATGTATGCATGGTGGATGGTAGGTGGAGGGGTAACTGGGGCCAGGGGGGACCTCGGGGTGGTGGTGGTGGTGATGGTGGCTGCTTCAGTTGGAGCTGCAGTTATAGGGGTGGTGGTGGGGGTGGCGGGGGTAGTGGTAGAGGTGATACGGATAGTCATTTTTGGTGACAGTATTTGGATAAGATGCTTTAGGAGCATTCAGTGCTTTCCGTCTCCCTCTTTGTCGCCCGGAAGCGTTTGTTTGCGTCGTATAGGTAAGTTAAAGAAGGAATTCAATGAAGAGACGGGGAAACGGGGGTCACTGGTTGGTGTTGGTTGGTTGGTTATTGAGTTCTTGTTTCCTTCTTCAAGGAGGGTAACTACGACACAAATTCAGCCCAAAGACAACGCCAAGATCAGTTTCATTATTAAATCATAGCAGACCCACAGGAAAGGGCGCGAGGGGGTCGGCGCGACAGGTTAGGGCTTCACGTATCGTAGGCCTTATTGGGGATTACGGCGGCGAGTATGACGAGCCCAGCTGACGATAGTTTTCATAATCAATTTGCAAGATAAACTGCAACACCTAAGTTTGTTACGTTTTCAGGGACATAACAGCTAATTTACTGCACTACTGCGTGGGAGAGTTACGATAAGGAGCACCTATTTTGCTTTTCACAAGGCGCAACAGCACGACATCTCACTCGAGCATCTCATGGTATCGCACTTATTCGCTCAATTATCGCATTGTTGTGGTTCCAATCTACCACACCTCACTCACTCCCTGCCCTCATATTCCTCCACCCCCCAGTCCCACAAACGCCCTGGGGCATCAAAGGGACAAGGCGAAGGCTGCTGAGCGAATAATCGAGTTTTCAGGATTCTTCGCCGTTTGCCAACCCACATAATACCCGAGTAATCAAGGATCTAGAAAAACACGCCCACATGGGGGAGCCCCTCCGGATAAGGGGGAAAGATAGAAGGGGATCCGGTTCCCAGAAAATGAGCTCTCCGCAATCCAGAAGTCAGCAGACAAGCAACTTTCAGAGATAGAGAATACGGAGAGGTGTAGCGCGTACAGCATAATAGCCTTGAGCTTCCCCAGATAAACTCAGATGCCGCTAGGGCCCGTACCGCATTGCTCTAGGGATTGGAACCTCCCAGGCCGTGGGGAGACATGGCTTATCTTGGAATGGATCGTTCATCCGCTTGGATGCCCGCAAGTATAGTGACTGCACTAATAGCAGGCAGGCTCCGCACATCTCCAATTTGTTATGTAGATATTCTACCTACAGGCCTACTGCCCCTCGAAAAACACCGCAGATCAGCCAGCTCCATCCAATTCAGACGGACCCCTCCCCCGGCAGCCCCCGCATTACCACTCTTCTTAGAGGGGTTTAAAACTAACCCGGTCTATTATAGCCAACACCCCCCGCATAATTCAAGCTGGCCATGATAACTTGTTTTACTGCTGAGTCCGCAATCCACCAGCAGATTCCCCACGTCACCGCGTGACGGCTACAGTCGGTTACCTCTCAGGCAGCCCGAAACGCGATTCCCCAATCAAGAAACATCATCGGGCAAATTATTCCAATCCCAATCCCAGCGCAAGAAGCCGACACAACCCTTTCCTTACGACCGGGCTGAGAGCGGTGAGACCGGTCTTGCTCTCCCCCCATCGCAGAATTAAACCCGTGTGCCTATTCACACAAGCAGGGATTCAATTTGTTTTCTTCGCTCCATCTCAGAAGCACAATCCCTAGGCACAAAAGCTGAGCTAGTGTCACCCCAAAATGCTGCGCTGCTGCCAAGTGGTGGATCATCAAGGGCTCCAACCCCCTTTCAAAATTCCGATACCATGAGGAACTCCCCTCGAGCTTTGTCCTACGGCGATGTGTATTCTTGGGTGAAGAGACAAAAGCTTCCGAGAGAGTTCCAGCCCGCCGCAGCGCCATCAAATTTTCGAAAACCAACTCCTAGGTGCTACGGCCGTAGCAATAGGGTCAATCGATAGGGTGCGCCATCGGTACCATTCCTTTGGTCCCCAAACCTAACACAGACAGTCAAGGTGTACAAAACACGGTGTAAGTACCGACCGGCACCGTATTTAGGTTACTCATTTAGTGGATTTATCCGCTGGCCCCGCCAAATAGTATTTAACGCAACGCGGGGTGATAAACCTCTGTGGTACAGTACGCGCTGTGTGTTTGCAGGCAACGGGTGAGACCGTGTTTTGGGAATATAAAAGGACGCCGGAAATACGGCGCGGTGTGGCGAACCAGGGCTCGTCTCATACAATGCATTGCATATAAGTAGATAGAGTCTAATCAATAAGACTATTCACCGGTCATGCAGGAATACCCAACTTCCATGAAACCTCCACTCGGCTACACTGGATGTTCCAGGAATCCCGATTTAAGCGAGAAATAGGAAGTCCAACCAAGCTATATATAAGCGATCAGAAGTGCCAAAAAGTGAACAGAAAATGGGCATCGTTATTTCGCCAGCCTTGCCACTAAATGTGATATCATTTCTGATATCGAGTGATCCATGGTGACCCACAGCCTTGCCGACCCGTAAAGTGTGCCGGAAAGGCAGGAGAACCACTGCCGCTAGCGCTCCGAAACAGCAGGGGCTGAAGTAAAACAATCAATGCGGTTAGCAAGGTCCCAAATAGGCCCGATTTTAGCTATAAAGGGTTAAAAGTGAAGGTGTCTTGTTGTGAACATGACCAAACTACAAAGAAAACTCTCGTATCAGCGTACTAGCGGTAGGCGAATTCTGCTAGATGATGGGTATCACCCCGTACCCCAAGTATTAGCATAAGTGGGGAGCCAAGATACATAGGATGGTCCAATGAAGCCAGAAAATAGGTTGGAGACCAGCCGGTGACGATCGTTGACCTAAAGTATAGGACACAAGGCAGTGTTAGCTACCAAGCCGAAAAGTCATTCTCAGGAAAATCCTTACCCGAATCAAGTGCTAACGCCAATCACCAAGCCCCGGCTCAACACCCCAAAGAGGGGATAAGGGAGACGGTTACAGCATTGCTAAGCCATTTCAATTCACCAACCTATCATTTCACCGCAAGGAAGCAATCCCTGACTCCTTGGAGATACCAAGCCACCCTGAGGCTGCCAAATCATAGCAGACTCGATGATACGCGATGGGAACAAGAGCCCACCCTCTCGGGAATCCTTCCACATTCAATCTCCGAGCTATAGCTCTGGATGGCTCTTGAGTAGTAGTCAGGTTCACTCGCCATACCCCGGTTATTGAATACCATCCGGCTCGCTCCCTCCTACACCTTTCTGCATTCTGCTCCCAGTTACTATATTTATTGAGACCGGGTGATAAAATGTGATCACGGTTGCGTGATAATCGATGATCTAAAGCTCTTCAATCAGCGATATCGTGAATGGTAACACCCCCCATAGCCATCATTAACTCTAGTGGGCTCACTTAGACCTACCTTAAAAACATCACCATCATCACAACCGAACAAATCAGAAAGAATAAAAAAATCCAAAGCCCAATATATTGAACCTACATAAAAAAAACGACGCCTCCGCCCCACCCGGGCCAGGCACAGGAAAAAATTGGCCAGCAAACGAACATAATAGTTTCCTTTTTTCCGCTGAAGAAAAAAGAGTAAAATATAGAAAAGGGAAAAGAGAAGGCAAAAACACGTCATGATATACTTTTTTTCATTTCCAAACATCGAAACCGTCGCATTTGCCGTGACCACGAATGTGATGCAAAACCCCCGTAACCCCGTCAGAAAACAAGTGGCAAAAACGATTATCCGGACAAGTGAAGAACGAAAAATGAAAAAGCAAATCCACTCGCCGAAAAGGGGGCAAGCAAGGATCCAAATCAACAAAATAGGAGGCAACAAAGAAGCATACAAATATACAGTTTTTTCAGTTGTTACAAGCCCCAGCCTTTTGATTAGTAAAATTCTGATTCGCCGAAAACAAATTATGAGCTAAACGGACCTACTGCCCACTGTCCTGGGATCCCCCCCATCGGGCTGCCAGCCCAGGCTTCAAATCCTGGCGGAATATTTGGGTTCCCTTGCATTTGAGCCTGAGCCTGAGCCTGAGCCTGGGCTTGGGCTTGGGCTTGCTGCATATTGAGGAACCACTGCGGAGCTGGCATCTGCCCCACCACGCTTCCATGGCTTCCAGGAGTACCAGGCTGGTGTGCGTATCCGTTAGCCAGCGCACTCATCCAAGAGGCGTTAATCTGGTTATGGTATGCGGTTTGGTCTGCAACCGCAGATCCGGGACGTTGAGGCGGCATCATTGGTCCCGGGATGGGACCTGGAGCCTGTTGTGGTCCACCCTCCGCATCGAGTTTCCATAAGAGCGGAGAGATGGAATCGGTAGAATAGCTCCGGCGAGGTCCCTCACCAGGCAGATTCCACATATGTGGGCCAAATTGAGGGTTGAGTTGAGGGTGCGCTGCAAGCGGAGGCCGCATCGGCCAGTTACCTCCGTTCTCCGATGCGACCCTCTGTTCGTTGTTTCCAAAGAGGAGCGCAGGTGACCTTCCCGGAGCACCACGCCCAAAAGCAGAAACTGAGTGTGGGGGGTTTGGAGCATAGACTGGACCCATAGGGCTGATGAAAGGGGGGGGGGGCGCTTGGCCGATAGCCGGCCGCAAAAAGTTCTCTCGCACTCTTCATTGGCTGGTGGAAAATCATCTCCGTCGGGTGGGTACCTGCATAGTTTCGCATATGGGTAGGACCTAGTGGCCCCATACAACGCACTCCACCATATCGAACAGGACCGTTACCGCCGCTGCTACCGCCGATATTCTGCTGGTATGTCTGTGGCGGAAGGATGAATTCAGTGCTTCTATCGGTAGTGGTCATTGACGAACGACTTGGCGGCGGCATTTGTGGTGAAACAGATCGGCTTCGGAAATCTTCCGACTCAAGGTCGCGCCTCCATGCATTATATGCGCCAGGGCCTTTCCCATGGCCGCCTCGATTGCCACGCCGATTACCCCATTTTCCATTGGCGCTTGCTTCAGACCCTGATTCCCATGGTTCACCCAAGCCCCCTCCCTCTTGCACGTGGCTAGGTCCAGGATAGCCATAAGAGGCACCACCACCCCGATACTTGGGGCCCTTCGTAGAACTGCTCGGGTTGGGCGCCTTGGGCATGGGTGCAGAACGTTCGCCCGATCCGTGAGTGGTGTTGAAACTGTCAGTATTGACTCTTAGAGAAGGCCCACCGCGCCGGGGAGCCGGGCTTCCGTCGCCAAGAAGAGGGGTCAGGGAAGCCGCGCTTCTAGAAGTGCCTATCACGGGAGTATCGCATTGGCCAGGTTTCATCTTCGAGAAAGCATTTTTAAGATTTGCTTCTCTTGGCTGGTTGTCGTCGATATCCGAGTCATCGTCGATCCTTGTGCTCTGATACGAGCTCTCAATCTCCGCACGAAGGTAATCGGGAAGTGTCGGAGACTTTCGCGTGGACGGCTCAGGAGCCGGGGGGGGGGCTGGGGAAGCCGCGGCCCCCCCACCGAGGGAGAAGAAGGGCTTCTGTTTCTTCCCCCCCCCATCATTAGGTCCCCTTGTTCAACGTCTAATCGATCCGATTCGCTAATGAGATGCCCATCCTCGGTGTCCTCCTCATTTAACCTCCCCAAACGCGGTACACTGGCTCTTTCGAAGCCCTGTGTCCCCACTTTAGGAGCCCGGTTACTCAAATCGTATTGTGGCGGCGTGATTACCGTTCCATCAGGAGTCAACATCCATCTCCAAGGTTGAGATCCCCTAGTTCCATTTGTTTGCTCATCCCGATCCTGCAACGACTCTATAGGTCCAAAATGTAAGTGAGAATTATAAAAGAAGATGAAGGGAAAAAACAAACCATCTGACGACACTGTACTTCTCTCCTTGCCCTTCTTCCTCTCTGTAGGCGAGGGGAAGAGCTCATCAAATCGCCAGGAATCAGATGCACTTGATTCGCTAGCAGGCCTCTTGTCTCGCTTTCCTGTCCCAAGGCCGTCCCCCAGAAGTGAAAATAGGCTGCGGTTAGAGGCAACTCTACTACTAGATCCCATTTTATCACCAGAGTTGTCATTACCCGTCCAAACCAATGGCACAATGGTCTCCTCTGTCTCCTTGGGAGTCGGTGTTGGGGGGGAGGAGTCCAGCAATCCTACGCCCTCATCTTCTATTCCCTCCCCGGCCGCCCTGACTGGATCGTCCTCGTCCGCAACTTCCTCCACGGTCACGTAGCGTTTTGCAGCCGAATAGCCGATATTTTCCTTATTCCCATCGCCAGAATGCCTCAAATGGTCATGAACCTCCAGTTCGCCAAGTTCCCGGTTGATTCTGTCCAATTCGGCGGTGGCATCAAAACCCCTCGATGTTTCGCCTTCAACTTCGATAAGCTGCTCCGATGTCAGACCTAAAGGAGTTCTTGACTGGGACCTCAGAGAGGAAGGCCGGCCACCGTTGGGTGAGATCAACTTTTTTCGTTGCTCTGCGATGCCTCCGTCCTGTACGTGGCCGCTCGGCCAGGCTTCTTCCGCTGCACAATCGACCCGCAAAACAAAATCATTCGCTTTCCATAACCCGGCTTCCCATAAATCCTTGATGTTATTTCCACCACTCTCATTTAGAATTCTGAAATGGATCTGCTCCTCGAGAGCAGACTGATACAAGTGTCTAATCTTCTTAACTTCCGATGCCCCTTGGGCACCAGTAGCGAACAGCTCCGCAGCAGCGTTAAGAGCCCGAAGGTGGTTCCCGACAGCATGGCAAAGGTGCTTGTACACAGCCCTGAACGAAGATCCAGGATGCAGGATCGATATTTCGGCAGTCGAAAGCGCCTTGTCAAGGCCGCCAAAATTGAGAACCATGGATAACCTTCTCGCGAGAATATCGTGGGCCAAGGGATCCTCGTCGGGGAAAGAGGAAACACTGGATTTTGTTGCCATGGGAGAGGAGGAAGTCGACGAAATAGAACCCGACTTCATTCCCAGCTGTCGCCTAGCCTCACCCAGATCGAGAACTAGCGATTCGATCTGTTTCCCATAACTCTCGTGTAATCCACGAACGAGTTCGTTATTAAAGCCATAGCCTCTCCGGGCATTCCGCATCTCCTCCATGTGTGATTCTTCAAGCTTTTTAATTTCATGCTGGTGTGATGCAGTAAGGCTTGCAATCTCGGCTCGGTGGGATTCAGCTAGCGAAGCGAGCGACGACCGGTGATTCGCTTTTACTCTCGTAAGATGCTAAAAACCGTTATCTCAATGTTTGTTCCGGTCTGTTTGTCACATCGGGAAGAAACAAATTGAAGGCCATATGTCCCAAAAATAGAACAAGGGAGGGTGCAAGGAAAAGTGGAGATGGAGGGAGAAGGAGGGGGTATTTACATCAGCCTCTTCGTCCGTAGCGGAACTAGTTCTGGCAAATAATCCTTTCAGGTTCGGAATTTCGTTATTCAAACTGCCCATCTCTTCGTGAATTTCCCTGTTGTTGCGGGATGGCGTGTATTGAGTCCAATCCTCCTCCTCCGTGACGTTATCGCGGTGATTGCTGTTGTTGTTGATATCCATCTTCGGCACCTCCATTTCGGCGTTACCTTCGGCTAGCCGTGTCGACTCCCCCTCCGCTTCTCGCCTCTGATTTCTTTCACCCTCGCTCCCTTCCGACACGGTTGTAGAGGCAGGAGTAAGGATTATGCCTTCCCGCTGCTGCCCACCACAGCTAGTGCCCGGGCCCGCCTCCGAGGATGGGGGCTTGTCGGCGTCGACAGTGCTGGAACGGTTCATGTTTCGATTGTTGTTGGCCCGGCGTGCGGAGAAAGTGGCTAGCAGGGACCTGGATATTGAGGGCCGCCAATACGTGGACATTCGCCGGTGGAGAGGAGGGCAGAGGGTAGGGGAAACAATTTGATGATGATATGAATGAGATAAAGTTGGGTTTGGGGTATAGAAATGAGTTATGATATCCCGTCAGAGTCCGGACGTTTCGTTTCCCCTCCCGAATCGCTCTGTTTTATTTTCTTTTAGGAGGGGCAGAGAGAGAATACTGGTGGAAGGGAACAAGCGACGGGACGTGAAAAGCAAGCGAAAGGCGTGTCAGGAATGGCGGTTGGCGGAGGGAGAGGGGGGGGGGGGAGAAAAAACAAGAGGGGGATTTTCTATTGAGAGACGAGGGTTGTGGTGTGTGCACGAGTAATACGGTATGTGTAGATATGTGTACGGCACTGAATGTGTACCAGCACGCAGGCAAGTATTAATGAGGTACCGGTGCTGTGCTAGGGAGTTACGCCGGACACGAAGCGGAGGCCGTAGGTATTGGGCGTAGAGAAGGGGTGAATGATTGTGAGCGAGAGCAGGAATGAGGGGGGGGTGAGGGGCGCTCGCTGTGTTTGGTAAAAACGTGTGGCAGAAAATGGTGGGCGGTATCTCTCGGGTGTTTGTTCGGCTGCTGATGGGGAACAGTATGAATGGTAAAAATAAAAATAAAAATAAAAACTGCTGCACGAGTACGATGGGACAGTACAAGGAGAGAGGCGAGAGCCACTAAGATGGGAGAATTATAATAAAATAAAAATGCGAAAAAATGACAGTAAAAACCTGACGATAGGGATAATAACAAGGGGGAGAGCTTCTTTCTGGTCGGGGATTAAAGCGGGCTATGATACCGCACAGATGTAGCCCTCGATACAGAGCCGGGGGAAGTGGAGAGCAGGATGAGACAAATGTGAGAGTTGCGTCAAGGGCAATTCCTTCGGCTTCACTGCCACCGTCATACATTGCCGGTAAAAGAAAACTCAACCTCTCCATATTTTTACGTGCCCTGGTTGGTCGATGCGCGCCTGTATCAATGCGGAATGGGGGAAGAGTGAGAGTGGGTGAGAAGGAGAAAAAAAAAGTGTGCGCTGGCTCTCCATTGTGTTGCACGGCAGCGATAAGCTTAAGCAGTGAACACACCAAGGTTGCCCTACCGGTACAGTACCCACCACTCTACCAAGTAATTAGATCGGCCCGACACTGCAATAGCGACCTTTACCAAGTTAATAGAGGGAAATTAATGCTCTGGGTAGTCGCTCCCTGCCCCAATGTTATGTTTAAATATTCTCACGGCCACCGCACACCTCCCCGTTTCAGGTGAGTGGATTTATGGATGGAGGGGTGGGGTGGAGCGAGAAGAATCGCGGTCCAGCCAACTATCGATAACCACAATTGAAGGACGGCATGGTGGCCAATTAATTGATAAAAAAGTATCCCCGCTCGCTATACGTAATAGGGCTAAGCCCCCACCCTCTACGAGTGTACGGTACCGCACCGCGGCCCCCGAATATGGACGGCATGACATCGTTCATAGAAAACACAAGCAGCACACCCATAATAAAGACGGTTCAGGAGTCCCAAGTTACCGGTATCCCATACTTTATTATAAGGCAACATGAAAGGAAATCTAGAAGGGAGAGGGGAAAAAACGGGGTATCATACTCCTACTACCGCGGGGTGGTACATCATGGCTTAACTCTTCTCAGCGACTTGCAAGACGGCTCTCAAAGCCGCTAATCCGCCCGAATGACTCTCGACCGTTCTTCCACGACCCCTATCATTCAAGTCTCCGCCTGCTGCGTTGTCCATCGGGATGGATAGTGGGCCACCGATCTCGCCGCCATTTTGAATATCCACGGCTCCGGGGTCCAGAATCGTCTCGAACTTGTCGGAGGGGGACACATGCTTCGGGGAGCCCCACCAGGTTCCGACAACGCCCTTCGGATTGCGGGTGCTCCATGCCGCCGCAGCGTTCTCGCGGATGAAACTGTGTAGATCGGTGCAGCGTTCGAGGTGCCCTGACCTTATTGCCTGGCTGAAAGCTTTGCTGGATGATATGGTGGGTAGGGGCTCGCAGAAAAGCGTCAAGTGATGGAAGAATATGCCTGGTGCATGCATATTCATAAGTTTTAAACAAGTGAGAAAAGGGAACATGGGTATGGGAGGCGGAAGCAAATTTCTTGCGCCGGCACTATAGTCCTAACCTACCTTTAAACGTATGGCCATTCTGAGAACAGTACCCTCCAATGTCGCACTTTTCTGTGAGAATCCCGTCACGAACAATCTCCCCCACACGGTTCTCACTCCCCACCACGGCATCCACCAGTTCGAATCCTTCCAATAAATAAGCCTCGTCACCTGTTGCCTCCGCGAGCCCGCGTAGCCCACTTAGGAGCACACCCTGATTGTACGTGTAAACCATTTCGTCCCTCACGTCGCATAACTTCTCCCCCACGCCTTTGTCATTCGAAATATGGAAGCCGTCGGTATAGAGCCCCTGTTTGTTGGTCATGTTGCTGTTCCTTAACCATTCGTGTCCTCTGATCGCATTAAATAAATAGCGCTCATTCCGGTCGCCGTGGTAAAGATACATTCCGACGCTGGCGGATATATACAGCTCGTTCGTTATGGCGTTCTTGTAGGGATCCAGGTAAGGACTCCAGAGCATCCCACCGCCACAAAGCGCCGTATCCCAGCCCCTCTCAGCGAGAAGGTAGAACTCGAGCGCTCGTTGAGCAAAAGGCTTCCGCCATTCTCCACCTGTCCACTCGGGATCTCTGAAGGTTTCTTCTCGATAATCTATCATTTTTAGAGCCTCCAGCCAGCCAAGCACCACCCAGAGAATATCGTCGAAAGCTTGACGGCGCAGTCCTTGGTCATCCTGGCCGTAAAAGAAAGCTATCAGTTGTGCAAAGTATGAATTTGAAAGGGCTCTTTCCTCCGCAATTTCGGACAGGGTGTGGGTTCCGGCCGCAAGGTACGTTCCCAGTACTGCCGATGTCCAGTCAATACCTGTAGGATAGGTTCCGGTTGACAAGTCGAAAAAGCCCTCCTGTAAAGTCCCGAGGGCTGTTTTGAACTCACCCAGGTGAGTCCTCTTCAGCGGGCGGAGTGAAGGTAGCTCCGTACGGATCTCCTGGAGGAATGTAAAGGAAGTAATAGTAAAACAAAGGAATAGAAATGTGAAGATAATATGGAGATAGGGTATCATCTTGCTTGCTCTCTTGTTTCTCTCTTCCTTGTAAGGGCCCAGTGTTTGAGGTAGCAGCCTGAATACTCTTTTGAAAGATATAGGATTATCAATAACATAAAAGCAATTCGCGTGCGATACCGCAGTACTTCATTCCCCGTATTCCCATCCTTTCCCCCAGCCACTGGGGTAGCCCCTAGCATAAGAGCTCAAGGATCAGGGTTTTGGAGCAGCCAGGGCTGGTTCCATACGGTAGCTCACGAGTTGAAATCCTTCCATTTTGGGGAAGGACCTGCCCCCTTTGGGTTTGGTGCGCTGACAAAGATGAATGGCCGATGATCACGAGATACATTGTACAACCGGTCTTGAAGCCTTGTATTACCGTATGGGCGACTGGCGAACGGGAACTAGTGCAAACAAATTTAGTATACTGACCGCGTGCCAGTTTATTTTCCCTGTCGGTTACTCGTACAGCGCTCATGCAAGGAGCTCACTTGATGCCGAAATGTGGAAGGAGCTCAGGGTCTGGGTGACTCGCGATGAGGAAGAATGGAGGATCATGGGATTCGAGCGAGGGGCTGCTGCGCTACTCGAGTACGAGTAGGGGGGAGGGGTGGTTGGCATCCAAAGAGCCTCATCTTCCGGGGACCGATAGCTGGAAGGATTGCTGTCAGCCCTTGCGCTTAAGCTATTCATATACCGGTAATACCAGTAAGTTACGTACCGTATCATGTCATACCGGTACTCGAGCACTGTATCTTTTGGTATGAGCTTGTACTCGAGTACCGTACCGGTAAATGCCAGATTCAAGCCAAGGCCAACCAAGCCAAGGAGAGGGCACTAAAGCCCCCAAATCGCCACACTTTAACCGTACGAGTACAACGAAATGTAATTGGTTGACCCCCCCAGCGCTGATCCTGCTCTCGTGAAAAGATACCGTGCTGTGCACGAGCACCACACCGTGCAACTTGAACACTGCGCATGGACACAACCGCAACACGGATCTTCGCCTACGGTCTGTGATACAGTACCGGTAAATCCCCTCCTTGTAGTTGGCTTGCCACTTGGACGCAATGCTGTTTAGGCGCATATACCCTTAGGGTGGAGTCTAGTGTTTACGAATAAAATATTTAAAGTAACGTGCAACAAAAGGTAGAGTGTCGTACCGTGAATCACTGCACTACCCGGTATGCGTGCGAATGAACGCTTTCACAAGTAGCACATTCCAGGCTCGTTATTGAAGTCTGTCGCGGGAAGACCATGTTCTCGTATCCCCGCTGATCGGCTACGAGTGCTGGCGGCCGAAGTTACGTACAGTACTACCGCGCTCCGGGCAGCGGGCGCGGTGGCGGTAGTATGGTGCAGCGTGCTCCCATCAACATCTCGATTAGAGCTTGTGGCCCAAATCAGCTCAGGCCAATGCTGTGGGAAGGGCCTCCGGCGATCGAGCCCGGGGGGTCAGGGGGAGGGATTGACTCGGGGCCTGCGAGAACCAGGATCCACAAGGGGTTCATCAGCGTCTTAGTAAGCAAAAATAGTAGGAAATGCTTATTGCCCACCGCCCGGAAATGGGCAATGAGGAGTGAATTATGATAATAACAACCGTTATCATACTAAGGAAGCAAATAAACTAGCATATGCAATGAAGTAGACCTTTCTTGATCTGTCTGCTGATATTCCAGGCACGATAGGAGGGTTTAACGTTTTTTCTCTGGTCGTATACGGTATTTCTGGTGTTCTTCAGGGATGGGAGGCATGTTGGTTCAGGTTGCCGACGAAACAGAGAGGATAATTGCTTGCGCTAGAAACTTTCGTCTGGTACCTTTTTCTTCTCTATGGGCTTCTTTGCTTCTCACTACTGACTTCGGGTGTCACTGTTTTCTAATTTTTTTCTTTAGGGTTCCGTCTAATAACCACCCGATCCGAAAAAACGCGTTCTAACTCCTTCGGTCGTTTTTTGATCCAACCCCCACCCCCATTGCAACATAGGCTTGGGCGAGTGTCTGGATATCAGCGCTGATTCTAGCATGATGCGGCGCGGTACCGGTTTTGCTTCAGAAGCCGGCCTTAGGCTCATATAAGTACCGAGACCGCATATACGGTACTATGCCGCCCGATTGTCTGCCTCTACTGGGGTACGAACGTGGGTGGTCGGGCAGCAATGGATTACAGGTCCTTGCACCAAGGCTTCTCGCTTGTTTGAGCAATTTCCATGCCAAATTCATCCCTTTATTTCCTGTGAGGGCAGTAAGTTTTGGCCTCCGGAATCTCTGGCTGTTCGATCATCCCGTCCATGCCCGAGTGAAAGGATAATGATCCTCCTTCGACCCCACTAGGCTGCAACCAGCCATAGCCACCAACAGATCCACATATCGTACCAACACACCGGGATCTGATGTCTTGATCTCACTGCTCGTTATGTCCTTCTTTGTAGACATAGTCCTTGACTAAGTTATGGGCTCTGGCGGCTTCATGGCATTTGACACTAGATGCTTGTGAGTTCCCCCATTCGAGTGATAGTTCGGTTGGTCGGGTCGTGGTATGTGGTATGGAGGGAGGTACGATATGTTTGATCGCAAGACGTTGGATTTCACTCAACGCACGCTAACACGGGAAATAACCAACCTACCCCTGGATCTTTAGAAGGTCTCTAAGCCGGAGGCAAACCCCTGTTTACCGTTCTCGCTTTACCTCGGCGATCCAGTCTCCTTAAGATCGATGCCCATATTGATGGATGTGGCCCCAGCTATGAAATTGGGACCAGGTGTGGGCATTTTCTAAATATTTGTGCAGATACACCAACTTTTTATAGCGGGACTTCCGAATCGGGCTTCCCTTTGAACCGTGAACCGCTCGTGGTCGCTTACGTTTCTCTCGCATTCGGTACATTTCCCTGTTGTGAAATATCCTGGATCCAATGCCTGGGCCATCTCCTGAAATCTTCCAGGGGGATGATAACATCGAGAAGGTGCCCTCCAGATTTCTGTCTCCTATCCGGAGATTCACAGCAATCGACCGAGAACTCTGGTTTGTGGCCATGCCGAAGGGGACCCTCTCTGATAGTTAGGATAAAACTCTACTTTAACAACCCCATATGTCGGATTTCTTTTTTTCCCCCAGTCGGCCGAGCGGAGTTTGGAGACCTTTGAGCGTGAATATCGGGATCGAGACCGATAGCCCCATCCCACAGTGTGTCACTGACACCGATAAACTCGTTACCAGCTGTACTTGTGGAGGGGGACTTGAGAACAAGAGCGCATCTACCATCACGTTCCGGACATGAAGTCCTACCTAGTCTATGTTGACGGGGGTGGGGGCATTTGACAACGAATATTCCTATCTACTTACAAAATAGGGACAAAGCGTTGCATGGGTTGCTTATGCGCCGGTGGTTAGTCTTGCTTTTCTATAGATGCATGGCTCTGCATGCCAGTTGTGCCGGTATTACTGGTAGTCAAGAGCGCGTATAGGGAATTTTTGTTGCCACCCGAAGGTCTTCAGCGATGATTGGAATGGTTTGTTGCATGCTGTGTTCTGCATTTGCAAAGACCAGGCATGGAAATGGCAATTATTGAACATCCACGATAGGTGGATGGAAGCATTGCTGGATATAATCCGAAAAGGGGTCTAATCCATTATGCCTGTCCCTTTCAAACATCGGGTTCCCGGGATAACCGTCAAGGCGGTGATTGGGAGGGGTTTGTGGGTGACTCCTGCGGGACGGGCAGATTATGGCCATCTCGTCTCTGCCTTTGCCTTTTAGCAGGACGGTGGACGGAGGCTACGGTGCCGAAGACCGGTGTTAGATTCCTTTTAAACTATTCTTGACAACTGATATCCTGAATGCTCGATGCTAGCTAGGGACGAAATATCACATGTTTTGTTAGACCACTGAGCTGAACCTTGTCAATTTCAAATGGCACTAACCTGAAATAACTGAAATCCAGCATCACCATCACGCAGGCAGGGGCTATAGCCGTACGATGGCTTGAGGCCAGGTAATGGGTGAGGGAACCTTCTTCCCTCCATGAGAAAAAGCGCTTTGCAACTTTAAAATGACACCGGGAAAAGTGGGGGTCTTAAGCGGACGGGACTGCAATCAAGCTCCGAGTGACGTAGGGTGATGGAGCAAGAAAAGAACAGCAAGTATCGTGCATTTCGGCAAATTTTCTAGGAATTTCACAAGTTATAGTTGACAAAAGAAAATACTGGTGCTGGTTTCTCCCTGCTTTGTGCGTGCCTAACGAGGTATCGAAGAATCTTATTGGCTGCTCAAGGCCTAAATGCTCTTGGGCACGGTTTGGATGCAGCGTCGCTCCACAGACCACCCGGCGAGGGCGCGGCAAGGTCGCTTAATTTGACTTACTAGCCTGCAAGCTTGTCCCTTGATTGCACGCTAGTATCAGGACATCCGAGAGAAAGGTTGTGTGGGATAGGTGCGGTGGGGAATCCATTCTCTCTCCTTCAATAGCAGATGTTTGTCTAAATTTTTTCTTTCAATATCCGAGTTTCTTAATCTTTGCTCTTCGCACCGCACGCTGAGCCTAGTAAGGTATGATACCAAACTTGTTACCCTCAAATATATCCATTGACCCTCGAGAGCATCTCCGGCATTAAAGAGGAAGACTCGAGGTGGTGTGAAAAAACAAAATTGAATACAGATGAACAAAAGGTCTGACCGGGCGATTCTAGGCATCACTTCTAACTCCCCATTTAATGATGGTCCCGAAGCCAGCAATTGGGATCAGATGGGCTCAGACTCCTGAGTGAATGAAATTGGCCACCTCCCCCGAGATTTCCCTTTAGTCCATGTGCATTGTTCGAGGCGGTACTGAGAATTTTCGAGGGAAATATTTGATGATGAAATCTGGCGTGACTCTTGATGGAACGCCTAAGAGTCAGAGCTTACAACTATTCTGTTTCTTTCAGGTATGCGTACGCCCAATGCAGGGGGCCCCCTCGGGCAGGTGGTTTATTGGTAGGTGTGCTAAGAATTCACGCTTTCCGACGAATATGAAACCTGGGTTCCCACTCGAGATGCGCAGATTATT